ATTGAAAGTTAAATAATTCATTTTTAAAGGAGAAGGGAAAAATTGTAAAGCAATTTTCCATAAGAACTTAATTTATTTTTCTAACAGAGTCGCCTAGGCAACTTTTTTTAAATTAGAAATGTTTTCCACCGGGAAGTTACAAAAACGTAATTCACTGGAAAAAGCCAGTAAAGGATGTTAATTACGTACAAAAAGGTAAAATTGTGAAAAAGTAGTGTGTTTTTTGTAGATTGCTTTCAGGGTGGGCACAAAGTGGGATTTTAGATTAAAGACAAAGTTATTTACCTGGCACAAGAAGAGGATGTAGTTTTAGAATAGTAAAAAGGATTTTTTTTGATATTTTAAACCAACATTGATACCAATGCAATTTTTCAATTTGACAATGGGAGAAGTACCAGTGAAAGAAAATCGAACTAAATCCTTTTGGTAGCTACTTCATGTTAATAAGTCTTCTTGTTTACGGAATACACTCAAGGAAAGTTTGTTTAGTGTCACAGCTATGTATTTTAGTTATTCAGATATCGTGAGATTCGGTCTGGTGTGATGTAAGTTTCAGAAAAACATTTTCTATATCGTGCCAACGTTTCGATCTTTTATTGAGATCATCTTCAGGGCCTGGGATTTACAATGTTTACATTTAACAAATACATTTAGGATGTGGAAAAGTAAATTTATACAATGCAAAATATATTTTATATTCAAACAATGTATTTCTACTCACTCAAAGTGTTTGTCTTCTGTGTAATTGTGCCATCCTTGCCTGTCTTGTTGAGAGTGCCAGTGAGATTTTGCTGTTTTATGTTTATATATGTCTGGTTTTGAAAGGGTGGGGAAGGAATTGGGTATATAAAAGACAATTTTGTGTAAGGCGTAGGCTTCTTTGAAGTGAAAAAAGCCGACAAAGGGGAATAATGTGTTGGTGATAGTTCGGCCAGATTATACTTAAAGGATTATATAGAAAGGGGATAAATAGGAAAAGGAAAGCTAAATTGTTGGAAAATTAGACTATGTGAAAAGTATTTGATGTGTGGAATGTAATGTAATGATATATGTATGTTATCTATATTGTATTTGATTAATGATATTGGCGTAGCTGCGACTGAGTTTACATTTATCTGTAATTGATGCTGTGTTTATCTCTGTTGATATAAACCATTTTTAAGAAATTATAGTTTCTTTTTTTGTTCAAGTATGTACAAAGTTTATATTTGTTTTGTTCTGTATGTAATATTTTATTATTGCCTTACACAAAATTGTCTTTTATATACCGACTTCCTTCCCCACCCCTTCAAAACCAAACATATATAAACATAAAACAGCAAAATCTCACTGGCACTCTCAACACGACAGGCAAGGATGGCACAATTACACAGAAGACAAACACTTTGAGTGAGTAGAAATACATTGTTTGAATATAAAATATATTTTGCATTGTATAAATTCACTTATCCACATCCTAAATGTATTTGTTAAATGTAAACATTGTTTGTAAATCCCAGGCCCTGAAGATGATCTCAATAAAAGATCGAAACATTGGCACGATAAAGAAAATGTTTTTCTGAAACCTACATCACACCAAACCGCATCTCACGATATCTGAATAACTATCGATTAACGGTCACTAATCTCTACACATTGCTATGTATTTTATTTTACACCAACCCTATATATTATTATTATTTTAATAAAACCAATATTTTCGACTTTTCCTGTTACATATTTTGGTCTTAGGTTTATTTTTAAAATATCCCATTATTCATTAGAAAAACACGCTTAAAATTTATTGGAATGTAAAAATTTTGAAAGATTATCCAGTCATTTGAAATAACCATTCGTTATTTACGGAAGGTCTAGTTCTACTTATCATGAGTGATGGTTGTAAAAATGTTCCTTTCTGTTTTAATTAATTCCACTGTCGTCGAGATAAAAACATAATAACATAATTGATACAAATTATTCTTGCAAAGATGTAGTGAGAAATGTCAACCGAACTTTGCCATGCCAGTCAATTCGTTAATTAAAATGTGAACTATTTAACTTTTGTCAAAATGCATTTGAATTACATATCATATAAATGAATAATGAAGTAAATATTATTTTGAATCGTTGTGGTTATTTTTTAAAATTTATTTTAACGAGGGGTCGCATCAGCAGAGGTCATATAAACGCTCAGAGTGCAGGTGTTTTGAAAAAAAAGCCCATTTGTAAGTATGTCGGGTTCGAATACAGGGCCGCTGGATTCAAATTCAGGACCTTTACCTTACAGTGATGAGCGCCGTGTCAACGCCTAAACCGTTGCGGCCACCGACGCCCACCCTGTTGTGGTTATTAAAATTAAATAATTAACTTTTTGTTGTAACTGTGAACATTTCGAATCAATTTAATCCAATAGGAAGTTAAAAGTGCTCTGATCAAATCTCTTTGGAATCAATTCAATAAATCCAACATATGAACAATAAAACAAGTTGGCATCGCACTATCTTACATTTTATAGTTTTTGTTATTATTGATTACTGATTTACATAAGCTCAAATCTGCACAGGCAGTATACACGTATAGTCTTGTGAAAAAATATAAACTCAATAATTTAATTCCATATCTAAAACAATGAAATTTTGAACCCACATATATTTTTTAACTTTGGATAATTATCCTTAAGAGATAGCTAGCCTTAGCCTTCCTCGATTCGTAATGAAAAAATATCATTTCAGTTTACCTTTTCAGTGTTCCTTTCGTTAATTTTTTTAAAAAATAATGCCGCGTGGGAACCAATTGAGTGAAATCGAGCAACAGCGAATAATCGACTTAAAATAAGCAGCAAATCGTTCGCGAGTTAAACCGCCTTCAGGTTGTTGTTGAAAACGTTTTAAATTCAGGTCCGGAAATTTACGAAAAAAAATGAAAGAACTCCAAATTTTGTCCGTCATATAAAACGTGCAGTTTTGGGTGAAATCGCCAGAACAGGTACTTCTTTAGATAAAATTGTGAGGTGTTTCAACTGGTAATGTGATGCTAGCTTAATAAGGAAGTGGGCAGTGGAAATCAGGTATTAAAAATATCGCTAAATTGAGAGAAAACCTAATCTCAAAAAATATCACATTAAATACCTCTTGCAGTTTGAGAGAACACTCAGGAAAGCCCAATTTGGGTTATTTTTAGTGACGGAAAAAGTTCAATTTTGACGGTTTTGACGGTTTCAATTATTACTGGTATGACTTAAGGAAAAAATTCTCGTCGCGAAGGTAGCATTGGGATCGTGTATGTGTTGTTTGCAGTAAAATGGGCAAGTCTCAAATCGCATTGATTATTGGCAAATCGAATGCTGTTAATATTAACAAAGTTAGAAGAATAACTTTTGCCATTTATTACATTGATGGAAGAAGAAGAGCCAATTTTTCAACAAGACAACGCACTGATATACACATCCCAATCTATGAAACAATAGTTGGAGGATTACGGGCTCAATCTTTTGGAGTGGCCAGCGCTTAGCCCATGCCTTAACTCCATAGATTATCTATGGGGAATTTTGGCTAGGAATGTAGCTATGTTCTCCAAAAGCTAGAAATCCAGTGTATCAGTGAGCTTAAAGAAAAGATCATTCAAGCTTGGGAAAACATACCAAAGAGCGTTTTGATAAACATGGTAAAAAGCTTTCCCAGAAGGCTTTTAGAGCTGATTAAAAACATGATAGAAGTTTTCATTATTAAAAGAAATTAACTCTTTAAAGAGTTAAAAGATTCTTTTCCAATGCGTTTTTTATAAAAATATTTTGTTCAATTTACTTGCTGGTGTAGTGTGGTTTTTCTCTAATAACATTTCCGTATTATCTTATGTTTTGTAAGATTTTATATCCATAACATGTTTACAATAAAACAACACTGTTCGTTTCCAAGAATCGGAATAGGTAAGAAAACACTCGCTGTTCTGCTCAAGTACAATTTTCATATCGGGTGGCTTCCCTAAGCCCTACATGGAACCAACGAATAGGTGGGACACATCGGGCAACCTTTCTCGACATGCCGGGCATATTCGAAGGGCCAAAAGTAAGTGTCCGAGTGTCAACCTCGCTGGCCTATCCTTAATCATGGGAGGGTTACCTTCCTTTCCTGCGCCAATTATCGATGTGCTTTTGTTACGTGTGAACTTCTTGAGATCCTTCCACTGACGCTGCCATTTTTTTAATCGTGTTTTTCATTGCAATTTTAGCTTCAGGGGGCCAGTTTTAATTATTACATCACTGCATCTAGGTTTTATGTGATTAATTTGGCTGTTATTACTATAAATAAAGGAAAAAAGATCCAATTTGTCTGTAATTTAGGTTATTTTTTTGATGATGATACGTGTAATTTAAATACAGGGTAGATTCCATTTATCTTGATTACCCTTGGCCCAATGATTCTCAGCACAAAACGTTCTCGTAGAAATATAAATGAAAAGGAAATATTTTTCAACACTTTTTTTTCGCTAAAGGCTATAAATTGAACTAGATTTATTTTAAACTTATTATTTTAGAAATGCTTGGTTTTGTGAAAGAGGAATTAACTTTTAGAAAAATTTTCACTGCCGAACGGTTGGAATGGAACGTTAAAATAATATATAAAAATAATAAATAAACCATGAATAAATAAGAAATAATAATTATTAAGGCACACTTTATTTTCTGTCTATTATGTGGCGAAAATGTTCGGGATTAACGAAGAAAAAACGTGTGTTTTTAAAGCATAAAAAAAATCAACAGTGTCATAAACGTAATTTGTCATATTTCCTACATAAAGTGTATTATTACAACTTCCAACTTAAAAATAGGACTCATAAGATTTTGTTCAGTCCTTGTCGGGCCAAAGTTTCCAAGGACTCGGCCCCAGTGAACCGATAGATACACGCAAAGTTGAACAATTTACTCCTAGCGGCTAGGCTAAATTGACCCCCTTTGCCCCAAATCGCTTCCAAATCGACTTTTTAGACATTTATCCTCATTTCTTTTTTCACTTTTTTTCCAGGATGAGCGGAGCAGGGTGCCCAGTGGCGGCCTCGTTACGGCTGTGACCTACCAATGGCTACTTCCGCCCTTGTGTGCATCAACTTAAAGACTCGTAAGTGACTTTTATTCAATTGACCTTTGCACAAAAAAAAAAAAAATCGTTACAAATATTTTGTAATATTACTACGATAGGTAAAGGAAAACGTGCATTTTCGTCCATAAACCAAAATGATTCTTCAAAATCGTGATTTGGGATAGGGATAGGGGGTTTTGATGAAGTTGGATTTTTTTAAAATAATAAAACACTATGTGAACCAATAATAAGCTTGGGGCCGCTCTATGCACTAAATCCATTGTCCGGACTTTGTACCGTCAGACAATCAATGTCTCTTCCTCGTGAAAGGTTTATTCCTTGAGGGATTGTTTTGTGCATCTCAAGAAGACAAATGGGAATAGAAAAGATGTTCTAACGAGATTTGGGAGTATGAACTTAGCTTGTAAGCATGCTGGTTTCTTCGGTGAAATATAAGCAATTTTGGACTGGTAATTTGGCGAATATGAAAGTTTTGTTTCAATAAGAAAATGCCAGGCATTCAGTTTACGTAGGTGATCTGGGGCTTTGATGAATATTTAAGTTTTGCGTAGATAAAGAAATTTCTGACGACACTTTTGTTGAAGTACAAGGCAAAAAGCCTAAATAGAAGGAATCCATTTTCTAGGTCGTCCACTTTTTCTTGACATTACACCGCCAGACTTCTACCTCTTCGTAGTAAAAGTCAATTTCTTTAAGAGAAAAACGTCCCATCCATTCCATTGAAGTAACGGTTTAGGAAATGAAAAATATGCATATATAATAATAAAGTGGGAAGTTTATGGGCCGACAAACAGCTGAGATCATCGCCGGCCCTCTGCGTGTTTTCCTTCTTTTTTTCTTCTTTCGCGCATATTTTGTTTTAATTGCAGTCATTTGAGCGTCTCAATATGGTTACTGATTCTCTGTATATATGGATATATATTTTTATTTTTCTATTTTTTTTATCTTTCAACAAAATAAATCATTTGAATAATATAATTATATTTAATTTCAACTCTTGATTGGTTCATTCTCAGTTAATAAAAGTTTTTCTGAACTGATGTAAAAACCACATTCAATCTAAAACCATTTATAAGGATATTTTTATAATATGTGTTCGGCTCGTTTCATGCTCCAATGAACTTTTTACTCGAAAAAAACGAAAATATCGCTTTGAATTATTGACCGGACATAAACTGAATGCTTATATTTTATTTTAAGCGGAGTTAGTTCCTCCTCTTTTATTGCCCCCTCCGAATCATTTCCATTTTCATCCTAAAGCCTGTTGAAGAGACGTTACATCTCGGTCCTGTATTTGCTTTATTTAGGGATTTTATCACCTGTTTTCATCATCCTTATCCTACATTTTCCATTCTACAGATTCATAAATGTTTATTGTCCAAGGGTAATCACTGTAATGCGTTCATCACTACCTTCTGTACGTGTTTTTGGACAAGAGTCAAACTTTTTACATATTACATAGAGTTTGTGCCATTTCAGGTCATACCAGACAATATTACAGTACAAGCTTATAAATCTTTCCTCATTCCTAATCCGCCTTGCAGTTTTGTGCTGTCAGATCTATTGGGACTTCAACATCTTAAGTCGTGGGATTGCGTAATACCATGACGGTAACATACTGTGGTCGATATGCTTATGAATATTTTTAATGAGTTAATAACAGGTTAGTCTGTTAGAATTAATAAACGCAAACGTTGTGTGGCACTTGATCAATCTTATCATAATTTGAACTATAAATTGTATGGGATGCAAGCGCTAGACAGAACAAATTAGGATTGAGTACGCTACTGAGACTTTCCTACAGAATGCAATGAAAACAGTATATTCACAAGTAAAAAATATTTCAAAACCAGTATTAGATCATCTTCGGTTTTCAACTCTAGAGTACCACGAAGCTTAACATTTCAGTTTAAAGAACTTTGCATCATGCACTAGTGCTCATATTTACAACTCTAACAAGCACTTTATAAAAACCGTGATATTCCTTCCAAGCTTTCACACTAGGCTGAAAGAAGTAAAACTGGGAGAGAAGATATGCACTACGATCCTTTGTACCGAGAACTTTACTTGTACTTCTTCGAAAATTTACATTTCATGTCAAAACCCGTGACGAGATTTTGGACAGGTGGTAACGTGATTTGGTGAAATGGAAAGTTTTGTTTCGACAGGAAAAATAGTCCCTTGTAGCACTTTCTTCAGTGTTACGAGGGACTATTTCCCGGGACTATTTAAGTCGGATCCTATTGTCCAGATTTTGCACCGTTAGACTACTTTCTCTTCGTGATAAAACCTTTTTCATTAAAAGAAAAGACTTCACGTGATCAAATTACGTTAAGCAGGAATAAAAAATATTCTCTAAGCAAGAACTTTGTCTAGCAACATGCCAGTTGTTCCTATAAATCCAAGTGAATTTCCAAAACCTGTGACATTTTGGACAGATGATAATTTGGTAAACATGATTGTTTTCTTTCGATAAGAAAATGCTTGGCCGCAGTTTGTCCAACGCAAAAGCAAAAATATACCTAAATCTGTAGAATCTACCGCACCCGTCCAATTTTTCCTGACCTTGCCCCTTTAGACTACTACCGTACAACCGTGGTAAAAAAACATTTTCCTCGACCTTACACCGATCTTATTATCCGGCCTCTGAACCGTCAGACTACTTTCTATGTGATTTGTCAAAATCTGTGACGAAATTTAGACAGTTTGTACCGTGATTTGTCTAATTGGAAGGTTTTGTATCGCTAAGAAAAGCCCGTCACATTTTCTTCTCGAAAATCCGTGGAATCCACATACTATCGTTGGCACCGGTCCTATTGTCACCTTGCACCGTGAAACTACTACTTCTTCGTGGCAAAGGTCACTTTACTTATGAAAAAGGTTTCATAAAGTAAAACGGGAATAGAAAATAACCTCGAATAATATTACAACGAATATTTACAATTCTAAACACTGTATAAAAACCTTGGTGTTCCTTCCAAGCTTCTAAAGTATTCTTTGTTTTCACTTTTTAATCTACTACTTCTCACCTAGGCTCATTTAAATAAAATTATCGAAATTGTCCTCATTTCTTGAATCAAAAGAATGAAGAAGTTCTTGAAATATAATCTATTGTAGAAATGGCCGAAATGACCGCCGGATAGTTGGTTATCTTGATGAGGGATCAGGGTAGAGGTCCAAATGAAGTACAGTATTGAATTATGCCAAGCTTTCCGCTTATATATAGCCTTCTTCAGGGTACTTACAAAGATAATCAGAAGACGTTTCTGTAAGTAATGTTAACACACACTGTACATAATATAACAATTCACACTTGTATAACTATACTTAAAAATTCGGTGATTAAAGAATAAAAATAAAAATCAAGGGGTCTACCTTGCTTTTTTAAATAAAATATTTCCTAGTTCTACTTGTTCAATACAATAAGATTCAATTTGTTTATTACAACATTATAAATAATTGGTTATGCTAACTTAATTTTATTTATTAATTATTCAGACACGAAATCCCCAGCTCAGTCACTATTTTGAAAATAACTTTTCGTCAAATATAGGAAAAATGGCAAATCTGGGGGATTTGAACGTCACGATAGCTCAATCGTAGAGCATCCGCGTATTTATCGAAAAGTCATGGGTTGGACTTTTCATCTCAACCTTTGCATAATTTATTTACTAGAACTGTTTATCAATGTAGTATTGTGGTTTAAATGCTAAACAAAATCACTATTTATTTAAACTTTTGTTGTGGAGGTGTCCGATAAAGATGTTCCAAATTCGCAGCAAATAATAATTTCTATTATGCTATCTCACTAGGAGTAAATGAAGAGAAACTGCGTATTTTTCTTTCACGATTTCATGATTTACCCGTTATCTTCCATTGTTGACCCAACGCATCCAACCCAGTGGGAAAGGTTGCCGAGTGTTTACCGTCTAATCAATGGCCGGTATATTTACCCCGCCGCGAGGGTGGATCGTGGCCCAAGGTCGTTGAAAGGTCACGGCAAAGGGCATCCCTCACGACGATTAATACAACCTTTTTGCAGGGGTGATTTGTTGTCGTGGAGCCACATGAAGTAATTGACCGGAATGAGGCAGGCTCGGACGTCTCAGCCGATCGCCGCGCAGGCCGCCAACTTCTCCGCCATTCTGTCTTCAAATGAAGGCTATTTTACATACATCCTGACAGAACCCTGGATCATGTGTGGCATTAAACTGCCGTATAGTGACTCCCAGCATGCAAATAACGGCTTCAAGTTATACATGACTTTTCCTTACGCCCTGTGACTCAGTTATACTTGAACAAATTTTTGTAAATGCGTAGAAAAGCAGAGCTGAAAATAAACTGAGGTCTGCTGAATCCACAGTTTAGCACATTTTATCATCCCTGTCCGTCTTTCCTCACTACTGTGGCTTCCCAGATTTATTTCTATAATTCTTGCCTTCTTGAGAAATGAGTTAGGTGAATATTATAAATGTATTTGGTCCTCCGGGCTGGACGATGTTATGTTACCGTAGCGTTAAAGCGACAGGCTCAACACTGAAGATGGTTAAACATATGTGTGAGCTTATTCGAAAAATACTAACATTGGAGTAGTGAAGGTTTATCAGTTTTATCTTCTTGAAAATCTGCTTACTGTTTATGTCCCTAATACTGACGCCAGTGGCACATACTTAATAAATTATGAAATTTTTTGTTGAAGTATGCTGGGTGCCGACCTGTTTTTGTCCGCATTTCGACGAAGCTTTTCTTTTTCAGATGCGTGACAGAGATTTTCCTTAGTCTTATATAATCAGGAGAATATCTTAAATGTATTTGGTCCTCCGGGCCGGATGATGTTACTTTACAGTCGCAAATAATGAGTTGGGGTTGGGGCATCAAGAAATGTCTAATATAAAACCTAATGTAAAATGTTGTTTTGTCTTTTATGAGACACAAAGTGTCCATGATGAAATACGAACCAAAATATTGGGTAAGTTTAATCTACTAGGCGATTGGAAGACTTGCTTTTTAGTTTTTTT